GCTTTGACACAGAACCAATGTTTGTTAAACGGATCAAAGTGCACGAGAGCTTGCTCACAGACAAATGCACACACACGCCCCGTACACACGTAGGCAGGCATGCACACACAAGTAAACGGCAATGATTTATGTATACACTAGATACACTAGCCGACTAATAGGAGGGACTGTGCTCCATCTTGGCACTCCCCCACAGTTGTACAAAATATTTTGGAAGCTATAAAAATGCAGTTATTAAGGTCTACATTTATTTTTGTATTTAAGTATATGTTTTACAGATTAATGTTACTGTCCCCACTACAACAACAAAAATACTTAAATATGTAATTTGGTCCATTTAATTGAAATACTGTAGAATTCCATTCATTCCTATGGAGGACAGCTCATAATGGGGAGTACCAATATGGCCGATCGGTGGTTTCAAAGCCTCTCATTGGCCAATACGTGGCAATCAAGGGTTTATATAAATCATTGGTAAACACACACGTCATGCTTTTGTAAGATAATTCCATGACCTTATGTTTCCCTCAAGTGGTTTTCCTCTTCAACGCTATTCACTTTACAGTTACTAAGGCGTGGTACCTTTTGTGCATTTATGCTGTTAGCCTACATATAATTGAGTCGTTTTTCACTTTCAGAATTGGCCTCAAATTATTTTGAGCTCATAACCATGTAGACACACATTGCATTTTCCCCCCATAGGTCAGTGCAGTACCCTAATTTCACCACCAGGGAGAGGCAGTAGCACAAGGAGCGAGAGCTTAGATTAAGTTGCTTCACCACACTGTCAGATATGCCTTCATCCTTACTATCAACATTAGGAATGGGGGTAGGGGAATCTGATCCTAGATCTGTGGTTTAGGCTAACTTCTACCTTAAGCTAATTTACATAGCAGGGGATTGCCCCCATTACCAAATATGACCTTTGTGACATTTTTCCTTCTTCTGCTCCAATCAAATCACTCCTCGAACAATATCAGAGCGGAGGAGCTTCGCTCGGGGAGGTCAACTCTAACCCTATAATGTGTGTAGTACATATGTTGTCACGTGCACACACACACACACATTTTAAGAAAACGCAAACATTTATTAGAGATGTTTTCTTGCTTTTCAAACTCTTTTTTAGGTTAAAATCTATGCAGCGTTGAATGAGTCACATGTTTCAAGTATATTACAATGTACTTATAAAAACAAGTGTGCAACAGGCAGTGGCCAGGCCAGAACCTGGCATTTGGTTTCTGTATGCAACACTTTTTGTGGAACGACGATGTAGCCAAGGGGAGTTTGTGTCACCGGCATCTCCCCGGTCTGTCACGTCTGTGACCCCCCCTCCTCCTACACTAAAGTTAAAAGTTCAGAGTTCCTTTACCGAGGGGTCAGAGTCAGATGAGGTCTCTACCCCCTCATGCAGAGCATTAATCCAGCAGCAGCAACACAAAAAGCACCACAATGTTTACATTTGTTCAAAGCAAAACACATTTTAAAAATACATCGAAAAACTAAAACCCCAAAAATACTTTGCATTTTTGGCACTACTAGAAAACTGAAACAGAACTACAGAAAACAAATATAGCTTTAAAACAGCTCAGCCCTGGGTATCTGAACATTCTGCCAAGGGTGTCACAATCATTATACGGTCAGTGCATCATCCATAGTTTGTATCGATATCAGCATAACTTAAGCTTTACAGTCTTAACAAAAGTTTGCTTAACTTATTTAATACTGTCACAGGCAGATAACTTCCAGTTTAACAACTTATTCCAATTCAACTGAACAGTAGAAGACAAAAAGTAGAAATTGCCAGTACCAGTTTGCACATTCTCTCTCATGATCCTACCACCAGTGCTGCACAATGGCATGGGTTAGTTTTTGGAATGATGGTCAGAGGGCTGTATATTAGCATAGAAAGGTATGGCTCCATTGAGGAATGCGTCAGGATTTAGTCCATTAATGGATTGGGTTAGATTAACACACGTCATCGTCAATCATCTCACTTCATTATCATATGTTAAACAATGTGTACTCAATGTGACATACCCCGTTTAGCAGTCATTTAGGAATTTAAGTGCCATGTGAGTGAGAGTTAACCTGGCATGCTAAATTGTAACACTACAATTGAACTCCATTAGAAGACATTCAACTGGTATGAACCCCCTCAGTGTAGATACCCGTTAACAGTGCTTGACTTGGAATGAAAGTAGTGCAGGAGCTGTATTTTTCCAAGTCCATCCATTAAATTATGTTAACTGAAATTCACAAATGGTATGCTATAGAGACCTCTGATTATTTTAAGGGTTCATACACATTTGCCATTACTTCTCTATGACTTTTAACCAAAATGTTCATGACTATTATTATAGCCTACATGAAAAAGTAAGCATTATTAACACTGGAAGACTGCTGTGTCTGATCCCATGTAGAGCTTCCATCTCCTGCCATTGTGCCCTTGATCAAGGCACTTAGCGCCCCCCCCCCCCCCCCCCACGAACTTGTCAACATGTGGTCAACCCTCCATCTGGAGAGCTCTTGGGTGTACAGGCTTGGATTTTGATCCAGGCCTGAAACACTGCTTATCAATGTCCTGTTGAGCAGCTGATGTTTAGGCTACAATGTGTTTAGACCAGGGCTTGAACAAAAGCCTGCACACCCAGTAGCTATCCTGGAGGATGGTTGCCACCCTTGATATAAAATATTTCAACATTACAACCAAATACTTTTGTTTTTGTCAAATGATTCCCTCATTAAATGAATCAAAGATCAAATGGATAAGGAAGGCTACTTCAAAGTATGGTATCTAACTAGACATGTTAATATACGGCTCAAATATTCATGTTTCAGGGGAGATCTATGCACAGCAAGTTATTTGTCAATTGTCATAATTTTCTAACGTTGTCGCAATTACATGGCTACTGTTTAATACAGGGGAATCCAAGTTTTTTTTACGGTGCAGATTTATTTAGTGCCGGTGGAAAGAAGGCGACAACATTAAACGCTTAGTTTGCTAATCGAGATAATTTATAGCAGTTATGTTTTGAATTGGCTATTTAGTTATTCTGTCATTATTATAAGGCTATTTAGTTACGCTTTGAACACACCGACTGCGTCATTGCGTTTTGGTACACCAGAAGTACATTCATTTCCAATGGAACGCTGCGTGGCAAACACAGCGTTCCATTGGAAATGAATGTACTTCTGGAGTACCAAACTGTAATGACGCAGTCGGTGTGTTCAAAGTGTTATTCTGTCATTATTATACCTGCTGCGGAAATGTCACGCTCTCTCTCCTCTGGCCCACACACACTGGCACACACAGACACGCACTGAAGGGTCATTCCAATTATGGCTGATATGTCGATTTTTAAGTGATTGATAATATTTAAGTGGTCCTTAATGAATTACATTAACAAAAATCATGAAATACATTTCCATGCCTTTTCATGACCTTACAAACCTAAATTTGACAAACCCTCATTTGGCAATAGCTCTTCATGCACATTCAGGCTGGCTCATTTTCAATCTGCACAATCTTCAACTGACTTCCTACTGTCAAGCACAGATTCACAGACTAGTGGTAAATAAACTTGAACAAAGCTGAATCAGAAAATGAATGCCCAATAGCCATTGCTATTCAATGCAGATCCTTCCTTCATTCCGCTTTGATCAAACTTTTTCGGCTCGGTGTGTGAATCTAGGTGATAGGCTACTTTGTTTTATAGAGGAGCTGGTACGAAATTCCCCAAACTTTAGAAGTGCCGGTAAGGCCTCCGGGCAGCTCAGGCCCAAGTCAAGCACTGCCCATTAGGCATCACCTACGGTAAAACAACAGCAATAATTGGCATCAGGCAGGCAGCGCTACTAGCTACAACTCTAATGATGATTAATAATGCATTGCTGGGATGGCAGAGTTCATACATCATGGGCTTACTACAACAGGGTTGTATTTATTTGGGCACACCGTAGCAAAATGTTCGGTTTCGGAAAATAAGCGGTTCTTATTGGACCAAGTCCAGGTATTCAGCCCGTTTTCTTCTGGCAGGTGCCTAATGAATACGACCCAGACTCGTCTGACTGGGAGGAGTGGTGCCAGTCTGTACCTCCATGACAGGGACGGGGGAGGGAAGAGTCCACAGACTCACCCCCAACACAAGCACCTTCTCTGGGGATGGCAGAAGAGGGAGAGACCAAAGGAGAGGAGGAAGGCATTCAGTATCAGAATGAAGGAGGGAGGGAAAGTAGAGAAGGAAGAGGGTAGCTGTGTATGTGGTCTCTGGTACATTCCTTCTTCGTGGTGTGTGTACTGTAGGTGTGTGTATACTGTACATAGTATAGGGAAGTCTGTCCACATGATAGAGGCTGTGTGTGACAGGGGTTACCTGTATGTGTGGATGTGTCTCGCTAGACTGGTCCCAGATCTGTTTGTGATGTATAGCCAACGGCCATATGAGTTGGGCTACACAGCACTAGCCAGATCTGTAATCAGGCTAGTGTCTTGCTGCTTATGTCTGAAACCTCAGGAGGAACTCCTAGTTGAAGAGGATACCCTTGACAAAAGGCAATATAGGTAGAAATTACCCCCCCCCCCCAAAAAAAAAAAGATTAAAAGCTGTCATTATTCTTATGGAACGTAAATGTAACTAATTGCGTAAACTATCTTGCTTTTGCTGGTCTAGGTATGTACACTAGTTGTAATCAACTGTCCAACTGACAAATTAAGTAAATTGTTAATAGAAACTCTAGTCAATGAAATGGGGAGACCCCCTTAGTAGTAATGCAACAGTGGTGACTTGTGAGTTTTTGCTGTAAGTCCATCAGTGTGTCGTATACTAGCCGTACGTCTCAATTTCGATGTACAGTACAGTGCGTGAGTTTGTGTGTGTGTGTGTAAGTCAGCCTGTGCACCTCCGCTCAGATCTGTACACACGTTAGCATGTCCATCAGTTTATTTTAGTTTAGTCTGTTTCCCCCTGAAAGTGTCTATGGTTGGCCATCTTGGCTCACATAGTCCCAAGGGGTTCTCCGTAGCGGATCTTCTGGCCGGCCTTCAGGTTGAAGGTGAAGTCGTGCGGAGCCTCGAAGAGCAGGACGATGGTGGAGCCCAGGTTGAACTCTCCCAGGTGCTCCCCTTTCCTCATGCTCACGCCCTCCTGGTTGTTGTTGGACAAGTAGCTGAAGTCGTTGTACGAGCCTTTGCTGTAGCGTGGGCTGTTAGTGCGCAGCTCCTAGACACAGAGAGAGACAGACAGAGACAGAGAGCAAGACAGAGAGAGACACACAGACAGACAGACAGACACAGAGACAGACACAGAGAGACAGACACAGAGAGACAGACACAGAGAGACAGACACAGAGAGACAGACACAGAGAGACAGACACAGAGAGACAGACACAGAGAGACAGACACAGAGAGACAGACACAGAGAGACAGACACAGAGAGACACAGACAGAGAGAGATAGAGAGAGAGAGAGACAGACAGACAGACAGACAGAGACACAGACAGACACAGAGAGAGAGACAGACAGACAGACACAGACAGAGAGAGAGAGATACAGACAGAGAGAGATAGACACAGAGAGAGAGAGAAAGGATTCAGTTTAGTAAATACATTATAATAATGATCCAATACATACAATGTCAAGTGTTTTCAGCATCTGGTGGAAAGGCACTAGATAAATCCAATAGATTTGATGTAAAGCAACTTAGTCACGCATATATTAAGTACACGTGACCCATGGGGGAATCAAACCCACAGCCCTGATGTTGCATTCACCCTGCTCCAACCAACCCTTAAGGGATATCTCATAACTGTCCCATAAATCCAGTGTCCATCCATGTGATGTGTAAAACATTTGAGGAGAATAGTTGAATTGGACTAAGCCCCATTAGACGATGAGCAGCATGATAGCCACTGAATGAGGTCATATCCTCCTGTTATGTTGTTGACAGTCTGGTTGGGAACAGCTTGTGCCACTGGCGCCCTCCTCGCTTTTCCTCTCCCCATTTCATCTTTCTCATATCCCCTCCCCCCGCTTTCCTCTCCCCTCCTCGTCTCCCCTCTCCTCCCCACTCCCACCTTTCCTCACCCTTCCTTCGCCTCCCCCCTTCCTGATCAGGCTCTTCTTAATGACAGCCAAACCCACAGCAGGTGATGGTGTTGGCTTACAGTTAACCCCCTCACCTACATATTAAAACGACCACGTCATCCTAAGTCTCTGGTCTAATCAATGGAAGTATATGGCTCCTATGGGACATCAGTCAGTTTAAACACAGAGTGGAGAGATTAAATAGGCCTATCCGGTGTGTGTGTCGGCAGCTTAAGGAAATGGCCTGACGTACAGGTAAGTGGGACAGGAAGCAGAGGGAGCGAAAGCTCACTGTGAGAAGTGTAATAAGGGGTCAGAGTGACAAGGGGTCAGAACCTCTCTTAAGTTAGCATTATTTCTCCTGTATGTACTGTTGTCCTAATAATTAGGTTAAGCAGGTGATCTTTGTCTCTGTCCTCACACTATCAGAGAAAGAGATCACCATCAGTAATACATCTAAAGCTAGTTAAAAAATGTGTACGTACACTATTATTACACTGCTTGTCAATAGTATATCATTGTTGTGGCAATACGTACATGTTTAAAAAAAAAAATAGTGGGACCACTAACTTTGTTGCTCTCATTCAGAACTTCCTCTACGTATGGACAATACCAAGGTCCCTAAATACTCTGACGTGGAGAGCTTTCGTTGCTGTTCTATGAGCTAGACGGCGCGAACTGGATGAGTGAGTGAGTGAATACTATGGCACAGTACCAGAATAGGCTCAGACCAGGCCCCCAGTGTCCGTTCTGGAGCATGAAGTCATGAGCTCTGCTGGTCGGCTACTGCGTAGCTACCTAGTAATGCCAAAAGCCCTGGTCTGCCCTAGAAAGTCTATGTAAATTACGATCGCCAGAACGGCCAAACTATGATTTATTTTTACGTCTGTTTTGGCCTCTAAAATTGGTTTATTATGATTAAGTTCGATCCCCAAGGTGAATTCTTTTAAAGTTCACTTCAAATCAAGATATTATGTTAAAATAGTGATCCATTCTGACTACTACATTTGTCGTCACACAGGACCATGTGCTGACACAGACCAATCACGGGCCGGCAGGCAACGAGGAGGCTCTCGCCCTCATGCATGCTCTTTGCGTGTCTCTTAGGCAGGATGACAACGACTACATCAACCATGATCCTTTGCTATTTACGGCAACTTCCACCATGATCCTTAGTGATTTTTTTGTGCCAGTCGGCAATATGGCAGGCTTCAAATTCAAATACTAATGCGGCATCGTAATTTCCATAGGAATACGTGGATGACGTCTGCAATATCACCATCTACTGGTTTTAATGTCTATAGGTCAGACTAGTAAACATCCACCCTAAGTGGGCTGTAGCTCTAACTAACCTTGTCAAAGTAGATGCGTATGGAGCCCACGTTGGTGGCCCCTACGGCTGTGAGGGAGAAGAAGCCGTGCGTCCACTCTCCGCTCAGCACCACCCTCTCGTTATGGCAGAACAGTTCTTTGATCCAGCGGGCCACGCCAGGGTTCACTGACATCAGAGAGCCTGGGAGGGACACAGACCGGGAGCAGGAGGTAAATACACAGACACAAAACATCAGGTATAATACAAACACTGCAAGCAGCACCATATATATACAAAATATGATTTTAGGACTGTGCTATTTTAGATCAGATAGGAGTGAGTGTGTAAGGTGTGGCATGGCGAGTCTGAGTATGTAGCATGATTATGATATGTGTGTGTGTGTGTGTGTGTGTGTCCTGGACATCCTGGGATTGTCCTAGCATCATCCTACCGTAGTGGAGTAATTCTGGTGTTAGTATAGGGGAATTATGATGTGTAGCACAGTCCTAACAGCGTACTGACCAGGGAAGTGTCTTCTGTGGGCCACCCTCCAGTCTGTGGGGGAGTGGAAGCAGTGGTAGTCTCCTGGAGCCAGGTACACCACACAGTGAAACAGCTCATTCCCCTCTTTAGTCACCAGCAGGTCCTGAAACGAGCTGGGGTCCTTTTCATCTGGGAAAACACACATACACACACCGTTATGGTCAGCAGGCAGGGTGTGTAAGGTGTGTCATACAAACCAATCCTAAATGACCCCTAGTCTCTGTGCTAGACAAAACAAAGGATTAGATGGGTCTAATATTATAAGAAAATGACTGGGGGCAAGGTGGGCCTATTAGGTACATAAACATAAGTTATACATCTACCCACCCAATCCTTAGAGATCAACAAGTCTAAAGGAGGTAGGGGATTAAGGGTCAAATTGGGATTGTGCATTAGACAATGAGGGGGAAAGGGTAGAGGTATTCACTTGATGGCTTGATGGTACTGTTGATGGCCTCAGCCCAAGTGTGGGGTCCCAAGAAGGTCTCCAGAGAGTAGGTGACTCCTTTGACTTGCTCCACCTCACAGTTCCGCACCCGCCCAAAGTGCAGGATCTTCCCATCTGCTGGGCTGATCTGAAATGCACACAGGCATTTACGGCTTTAGCCAGGGATCTACTTCTCTATGTGTATAAGAGCCAGACTGATCGGGCTGGGTTAATTGGCAGTAGAGAGAACTCTGATCAAACATGGAGCAGGAAGAGTAGTTCAAATTCACACGCACTGTTCACACACACATAGACAGACAGTTCACATATACTGTACGTGTGAACATGCATGCACGTACATACACACACTTACCACGCAGTGCGAGTCGCACACAGGCCGGACAGCCGGTTTGAGTTTCCGTCTAAAGAACTCTCCCAGGTTCCTGTATTGAATTAGGTCTTCCACAGCTGCCTCCTGCATGTTGACACCAAACGTCCAGATATACAGACTGTAGACTGGCTTCCTCAGCCAGGTCGGCAGCTCCACCTGGTTCAGCCGACCCCAGGCCCGAGACAGCAGCCGTGTTGGGATGGTCTTGTACAGAGCAACCTGAACCAAGAAGGAAGAGAAGGTTGAGTTACACTACACGTAGCTAGACACCATGTTCTCACATTGGCTGCATCCTGGCTCCTTGTTTTTGTGGTCTGGCCAACTCCTATGGTCATTGTTACACCAAACGACCATAGGAGTTGGCAAGACTGCACAAACATATCCGTCACCGGGCTACTGCTTCTCTACTGGGAGAACTCTACTAGGAGAAGCTAGAACCCTGGCAGACGAGGCTATTGAAGGCAAGGTGACATCTTGACTCAATCGAGGAATAAAAGTATTAGCCACTCACATCACTAAGTCAATTGCATCAAGGCCATGTGGGGGACAGGTAGTAAGGTTGAGGTGTTGACAGCATTTTAAGGCGCCTGAATAGATTAAACTTCTGCACACCTGAAGTACTGTCTTAGTTTGCAGGTGCATTGTAGAAGCCAAAAGTGAACAGGTAGAACTCGCACAAATTGTGTAAATCTGCAAATTTGACTTTTTCAGATTTTACATTTACGTCATTTAGCAGACGCTCTTATCCAGAGCGACTTACAGGAGCAATTAGGGTTAAGTGCCTTGCTCAAGGGCACATCGACAGATTTTTCACCTAGTTGGCTCGGGGATTAGAACCAGCGACCTTTCGGTTACTGGCACAACGCTCTTAACCACTAAGATAACTGCAAAGTTTCAGTTGCTTAGAAAGCCATCAATTCACGGCTTTACGGATACCTAAACATAAACCGAGCCCTAAACTGCACTCACCAAAACACGACCACATCGGAGCAGCAGCGTCGGTTTGAGCAGCAGCATCAAAAAACCAAACTCATCGAAACTTCATTGATTCCTACATCCCGTTCTATTCATCTCAGTATCCATGAGATGTGACGAGTCGAGTTGAAGGAGCCGCCTGTCACTTGACTTCTCTGCACAGGTGTAGAACAACATCCATCTGTGACTCACTCAGATGCTTACAACGCGAAGCACGAAATTCAGTGTGCGATGAAGTGAAGAGTGACAAAGCGATCCGATGATCAGACCCTCCTAGCACCTGCAAGTAGTCTGGTCTGTTTAAACTCCATCGCCTGTGAGCTCCAGATGGTTTGCTGCTTGATTTGCTGCTCGCTGGGCTGGGCTGGGCTGGCATCAGATAGCTTCTGCCTAGCTAAGTGGATTAGTCAGCTTCTGGACCAGCTGACATTAGGAAGGAGGAGAAAAGAGCTCTAATAAAGCTTACCTATCCCCTCCTTCGAAAATGTTGCGAATCGGACCCGTACACGTCCTGCAAGATATCTGATAATATAGATGGGGTTTAATGTGCAAAACGTGATTAATTTAATATTGATATGTGGAAGCAAGCCTCGTTAATTATAATTTGTTGACTGTGTACTTTAGGGATCGGCAGCCTACGGGATCAAATCCGTCTCAAGGCTATGAACGGACCACCGGAACAATAAAATACGCATTAAGAGCAATTTTTTTTTACATGGCCTCAGATGTGAGGACAGACTAATTAATAAACACAGAATGGCAGATTTAAAATAGACCTAAAATAGAATAGGAGTTTAACAGGTAGGTAGGAGGGGAAAGTGTCTAGAAACGCTATTTGATCCACAGTGTGGCTCAATCCGCATTGATTTCAGGGCAGGATTAATAACCATGAAGGTGATCAGAGTTCAAACTGAACAGAAAAACTAACGTAGGAGAAATTCTGGGGCTTATTTAGTGTGGGTTGCAACCAAAATTATTACGCGCTTCAGCACTCGGCGGTCCAGTTCTGTGAGCTTGTGTGGCCTACCACTTCGCGGCTGAGCCGTTGTTGCTCCTAGACGTTTCCACTTCACAATAACAGCACTTACAGTTGACCGGGGCAGCTATAGCATTGCAGAAGTTTGATGAACTGATTTGTTGGAAAGGTGGCATCCTATGACGGTGTCACGTTGAAAGTCACTGAGCTCTTCAGTAAGGCCATTCTACTGCCAATGTTTGTCTATGGAGATTGCATGGTTGTGTGCTTGATTTTATACGTCAGCAAAGGGTGTGGCTGAAAAAGCTGAATCCACTAATTTGAAGGGGTGTCCACATACACTATATATACAAAAGTATGTATTTTCTACAACATTTATATCCAAATGTTCTGGAACGTAACACACAGTCCTGAATTTAAGCCACCGGTGCTGTGCTGCCTGCTGAGTCTAGATCCGCCCACACAACTCACAGGCAGTTAGCTCCTGTAGCTAGAGATAAATCACAGATATTGTCCAAACTGCAGAAAATGAGATCAGCAAAAGATATGGGTGGCAGACAAGTTCCATCTCCACGACTGAGTATCCCCTTTGAATAATGGTCCAGGGGAGGTGGAATAGATCAACATTTCATTAACATTAAATGCTTATTGGCTGATGGTAAGGGAAAAACAGCTTCCATTGAAACTAAGTGCACTCAGTCGCCCCGTGACCGTGACAGCGTGAGCGAGCAAAGCAGGAGAACAAAACAAAGCATTTCTCTGTTATTGTGTGGCCCACACAAAGGGCCTTTGATAGGCTGTATGGTAGGGCCTGTACAGTGAACAGTGAGACCGGAGCTCTGCAGGTCCATATGGGTCCAGCCATCTGTGGCGGTGGAGGAGGATGTGCACTCACCACAGACGGTGGGGGAGGGGGTGCTGCACTCACCACATACGGGTGGAGGATTTTGTTGCGTGTCCTTGTCGACAACAACTCCATTCATATTAAACAGCCTACCTGTTGGTTGATCATTGAAGCTTACTCCTTCTCATTTAGCCAACTTAATTCCGTAACTGTAATTCCATTTTGCATTGATTAGAAATCTCCCACTTCACTTGCTACACATGGAGCCTCTGACGGTAGAGCTGCTTTGATTGACCAACAATAACAAGCGTGAAAAGTGTGTAGGCTACCGGTACTTCATTTTTTTAAATGGGGGGCACTCGTAAAAACTGTAGTTTTATTAAAATTTATAATGTCATAGTCTACGTCACAGATATACATGTAAAAAAAATAAAAAATAAATAATATATATATATATATCTTTTTTTTATTTTATTTATATTTTATGAACTCTTGCAAGTAATCGAATACTAACGTCCGTTCGGATATTCAAATAACCGTGCCTGTCCCTACTCACATCAGTGGCACTAACAGAGCACCTCTAGCTGAGAAAACCTAGGGCCACGAAGCAGGGGAAACTAACGACCATAGGGGTTATTACAGTGATGATAATGGATTGGCTTTAAAAAGTGATTTTTCAAGTGTTCAAGTTGTACTTTACCTTGTAAGAGAGAAACTCTCATCCTATTCCACAAGTATTCTAAGAGTTGGTACCCCTGGATGCTGAGATTGACATTCACACACAAACCCACAGATATACACACAAAGAAATTCTGTAGCAGCTGTTAGCAGGTAAGTACTCACCCTGCTTGTTGGTCTCCAGCCAACCTTGGCCAGGGGCTTGAGTGCACGAAAGGTCAGGAAGTAGTAGAGGAAGCTGAGCGGCCATGAGCGCAGCCGCAAGGCGGGCCGGGACATACAGCTCAACTGGCCAAGACGACGCCGCAAGGCCAACTGAGGGAACTGCAACCTGGGCAACCATACAAAACGCTGGGTTGGCACAGGTGTGGCCGTGTATACATAGTACACACAAAACAGTCTCAGTACACAAACACTGACAGACAGACGACAGACAGGCAGGACAGAGGCTCACACATTCACCCACAGAGTTTCACCCACATACACACACACCCACACAGCAAAGCACATGAAAAATAGGGACAATGCACATACTTGTGTCCATGCAAGGGACATGACAATGGGCCTACACAAAGACGTGTAAAACAAAATAACACGACAACAAACGCACAAACAGAAATAGCGGACCGATGACGCCCTCTTCCTTTATACTGTTCAAACACAATCACACAACACATTCCTATCAGGAAATAGGCTACTGTACGTTCACATGTTCTGACTGCACACATCCTCCCCACTGTATCCCCAAACTCTCTTCAACAATGCAGATGGTACTCTTCTACAGTATCTCATCCAAACCACCAAATGGTTAGTTTCCTAAGAAACTGTGTGTCCTTAAAATATCCTAATTTCTAACTGCCATCCATCCAGATCTCTCAATATGCTATGTTAAAATTGCTCAAAGATAAATGAATCACTTTATTTGCTAAGCCGATAAATGCGGAGCAGGATTTTGATGACAAACCCTGTGCTCTGTTTAAGTGTGGGTGGTAAACACACCACATAAAATGCATAGAAACAGCATATCCACCCAACAGCCAAATCAATCATCTGCCTGGCTGCACTGTAAAACAGTCTATTAAAATAGGCTTCAGTGGCTGTGATGTATTGCCCTGGTTCTGTACAATAGGACCAACTAGGGCAGCAGTGATGCAGCAGTGGACTCTAAGGGGGGAGGCCAATGTTACCGCAACAAGGGACATCCAACACACGTAATGTGCAAAACCACTGGCCGTGTCCGAACACCTGTACTTGCATTCTAAATAGTAGGCATTTGGGTATGCAAACCCCCCCCACATTTTATAGTATGTACTTTTTCAAAAAAAATAGTATGCTGGTAATCAGCTGATAATGAACGAATGGCAGGAATTTACATTTACATTTTAGTTATTTAGCAGACGCTCTTATCCAGAGCGACTTACAGGAGCAATTAAGGTTAAGTGCCTTGCTCAAGGGCACAGACAGATATTTCACCTAGTCGGCTCGGGGATTAGAACCAGCGACCTTTCGGTTACTGGCACAACGCTCTTAACCACTAAATCAAATCAAATGTTATTGGCCACATGCGCCGAATACAACAGGTGCAGACATTACAGTGAAATGCTTACTTACAGCCCTTAACCAACAGTGCATTTATTTTTAATAAAACAAGTAAAATAAAACAACAAAAAAGTGTTGAGAAGAGCAGAAGTAAAATAAAATAACAGTAAGGAGGCTTTATATACAGGGGGGTACCGGTGCAGAGTCAATGTGCGGGGGCACCGGCTAGTTGAGGTAGTTGAAGTAATATGTACATGTGGGTAGAGGTCAAGTGACTATGCATAAATAATAAACAGAGTAGCAGCAGCATAAAATGTGGGGTGGGGGTGGGGGGCAGTGCAAATAGTCCGGGTAGCCATGATTAGCTGTTCAGGAGTCTTATGGCTTGGGGGTAGAAGCTGTTGAGAAGTCTTTTGGACCTAGACTTGGCACTCCGGTACCGCTTGCCGTGCGATAGCAGAGAGAACATTCTATGACTAGGGTGGCTGGAGTCTTTGACAATTTTGAGGGCCTTCCTCTGACACTAAGCTAACTGCCGCCCCAATTGTGCATTAGATTAGGCATTCTCAGTAGTATGCTGATATTTGTTTTTACTAAACAGTATGTCCTAAATAGTACACAGTATGCAGTTTAAATAAGTACTGTAGTATGCAAGTCATATTTCGGACACGGCCAATGATTATCATTTCATTTGTTTACGAATGGGCAATAATTGTGTTGTTATAACACCGTTAAATCTTAACACTTGACTAATGTGCAAAGTCTGCAAACCTAAATCCTTCCCACTTGTCCATTTTAGCCATCAGTGAAATCAATGGGGTCATTTCAACTGGAAACCACAACATCACTTGTGTATGGCAAGTATAGGTATAACTCGTTCTCAGCAAAGTGACATGCAGAGGTGCTGCAGCCTTAGCTCTGCGAAGTCCACATTAGCATGTCAGGGGATGGGGGTCATATTTGGCCCTGAAAGTGATGAGCCAGCGCTAACAGGCCTTAAAAGGGAGGGGTGGGGGGTGGGGGGGGGTATAATACAGGATAGCTGTATAGCTATCTACAGGCCTAAAGAACACCTGTCCACTAATCAGGATAAGAGACAAGCGTGCCATGGAAGGCTTCAACACTGACACCCTAATGGACATAAGTCAGTCAGCTGCACCTTAACACCTGCCACTGGCATACACACAGACACTGCCAACTACAGGTGACCTGTAGGCCAAACCGATGAGACAAGTCTAATGACAACAATGGCGTAGGACTGGATATGTTCATTTACAACAGTTGACCCTGACAGTCTCACGCATGCACACACAGAAGCTCAATCAATTGACACAGAGACACACTGACATGACACACACTCACAGGTTGGTCAGTGGCTCTGCTGTATCGTTAATCCCTGTGTCATTATAGACCTGTTTGGCCTCAGAGCTAAATCAGATCAATTGAATGGTGCTTTACAGGCTGGTGTTGATGCGCCCTTTGTGAAACTACAGCCAGTGCTGACTGATTGTCCCCAGCACAGCCATTCACAGACAACACTGCCCATATTGTTCCAATAGCTATCTGAACACACACACACAGATCCAACGATGGTCTTTAGATCTGGAGCAGTGTGTGGAGCTGTGAGGTTCAGTGGGTCTACACAGACACAGACATTCCTATCACCACCTTTTACTGTCTAATTTCTAAGGGTTTGATCACCACCACAACATAAGTCAGTGGGGGGGAGCCCATCAACACATTTTAATGATCCACAGCAAGAGATCCAAGATACGCCTGATTCTGGAAATCTGGAATTATTGAATCATCAGGGAAAATCACATCTCTGATTACTTTGGCTACACGGATAGATGGGTAGGGGATTACTTCCACTGAGGCATGCTGCTGATGTGGCTGAATGGTGCCGTTCAGTACGTAGTGTACTGGAGCTAGCGACTGCTCTCCTCAGTCACTGCTGGCTGGCTGGCCTAGTTTGGACTGCAGTGTGACACTGGGACACTCATCTTTTCTAAGCTCTAAACAGGACCGCAACGTTTACTACTCACAGCCTGGACGGGTAGACAACAGCCTATAATAAGATTAGAGCTAATGGAGCTAATATAGCCTAAACAAAGTCATTTGCATAATGTTTAACCCCTTTATAAAAGGATATTTAAAAAAATCCTAATAAATAATTTACATGTAATTGAATCTCAATTCTCATAGAAGTCTACCAGTGCAGAACATTTTAAATATTTAAAATACTTACCATAACCTGTCATATGCCTTGGTTTCAGCCATCGTAAAGTATAGCTTAAACATCCCAGCCACCCGGATAAATGCAACAAAAGTAACAAACGCAACATATTAACACTTCTTCTATCCTTTTTTATTATATTTCCCAGCTATCCCCATCTCTAGCTCTCTCTCCACCACACAAAACGCACGCTCCAGCAGCACCCCCCTCTCTTCCTCAATGCAGGCACATATTAGCCAATCACTGACTGCATAGCATTCTCTCTATCCTGTCTCTACTGGCTCTCTCTATCCACACTAGCAGAGTCTTAGCCTTCACGCAGCTCTCGAAAACTCCATCTATCCATCACTTCTTTCAGGACTGGCTGGGTAAGGCTGGCTAGCTGGCTGCATAGGGCTGGCCCAGATGCTTTGTTCCCCCTTTGACTGGCCCGCCTGGTCGGAGCTTAAGGACATTACGCTGCAATTAGGCCAAACAGAGGCTTTGTGCTGCCTGGGACAGAGAAAGAAAAAAAAAAGATTGAGAAAGACAGAGAAAAGGAGCGAGAGGGGGCATTGGGAGCGCAGACCGACTGTACCCCTTGGCTCACACTTGTCCCCCTGCTCATGAAGCAGCCAGGGCACAGCTCAACACAACCACCCACTCAGAAACCACACCACTGCTACAGCATCAATCCCACGGCAGAAAATTACATGAATAATCTTTATGCTCGCTCTATTCATCCCTCTCGCGCTCTTTCAATCCATCTCTACCACTCATGTACTGTAAACAATCACTCTATAGGCTAAGTACCATTCATTCTCTCTCCGTGTCGGTCCTCTCTCTGTCATGTCATGTACAGCAGGCATGTTATTCACACGCCAAGACATCCTGTGGTCATTCACCTCTTGTTCCCTCGCGCTCTCTCTCTCTCTCTCTCTCTCAGCATACCTGAATCGGTTCCTGTGGCTGAGTACTTGGGCCACCTGGCCTGAGCTGTTGCCGCCGCTGACTCCCCCCTGCTCCCCGGCGGAGCTGATCGGCCGGAGCCGGCGCACATCAACCCTAACTCTGTGGAGATTGTAGCAAGACGGAGGGCTGTGCAATGACTTGCAGCATCTCACCATTTCCCTGAGCTCCGCGCTGCTGCCCGCTGCAGGCTCCTGCTCCGACACATTATCACAAGGTGGGGGGATTACAGACACTTCTCTTTCGCTCACTGGGGCTGCCTTTCTCTCGCTCAGTGTGCACGTCTGTTCTCTTGCTCCACTATTCTCAAGCCCGGCCCCCTTCTCTGGCAGGGCGGATGTGACGTAGTGGAGGGGGGGGGGGGGGGTGTAATCCGTTTGCTCCACCTCCTCCCTCTCTGTCTTCTCTCTCTCCCTCTCTCTCAGGGGTCCAGGAAGTTATTTTGTACCAGAGGGCAGAGGCTGGGTGCCAGAAGGTGGGGTGACGGAGCTGCAGCAGACTGGCGACGGTGGGAGACTGGAGGAGGACTGGTGTGCCTGGGGGGAGGGGCAGCTTGATGAGTGAGAGAAATAATCCCATCACCTATAGCGTTCATGGACACTGATATAGATTCCTGGCCACACCCCTATACTGCTGATCAGTGTTGTGTTACAGTATCATTTTGCCATTCATAAGGACATTTGCTGTACGTTGTTTTTTTACTTAGGTTTTGGCCAGTTTTGAATGCCTGGCTAGACTCCACTGCTTCCTACCTTATCCTATCCTACCATCAGCTGATGGGGGGGGCATCTGGACCCTCTGTCTCCCAACTACACCAATAACAGAAATGAGACCAATTGTCATAAACTGCCATCTATTGACTCCCTGTTGTTTTGTAACGGGTGAATTATTTCAGAACGTTAACCTTTGGTTAGCATGAAGATAATCTGGTTAAATTAATGTCTATTATTAAAGCCTGTCAGCTTTCATACTTGATCCGAGGCTATTTTAGGAAAGTCCGACTAAATCTCATGTCTTGTTTAACACATGAAAAATAGCTTTTTTCGCAGTAGCAAATAATCCCTTTAGTTAGTTGTCAGTTACATTAGTTACGGTTCAAAGCGCTGAAATGCATCTTCAGTAGCCTTTTAAAACCATCCCTAAAAATACCACAGTCTGACTACAGATGTCTAATGATGACACTTAAAATTCTGAAATGATTCACTCTTTACAAAACAGCAGAGAGTGAATAGATACGTGGTCCTCTGTAGCTCAGCTGGTAGAGCACGGCGCTTGTAACGCCAAGGTAGTGGGTTCGATCCCCGGGACCACCCATACACAAAAAAAAAAATTATGCACGCATGACTGTAAGTCGCTTTGGATAAAAGCGTCTGCTAAATGGCATATTATTATTAGATAAGATCATGATCTTATTAGCTAGGTTTCCATCCAATTGGCGACAGATATTCATGCAAATATTCTAAAATCTGCATAAAGAAAATATGCAAATTTTCCGACCAGTGGTGTGTTTACACCAAACAGACTTGTTGCGAATAAAATCAGTGCGTGATGACGTGGTGCACACAAAATGTAGTTTTTCACTTACGTTTTCATGTACCGAATAAAAATCTAAAGTTCAATGTGTTTCCATCGCATTTTCAACTCTACCGATAGTTGTCACAAAAACTGTTACGTTAAATAGCAAATGTGCCTAATCTGGTCTTGGCACCTGCACTCTAGCCAACAGCTTGCAGATACAGTGCGAGTAGGCTGTGCGGGTAGGCTAGTCTACATGATTAGATAATTATGGATAAGAGCGAGAATATTATTATTTGTCAAATGGCAGTCAAGCATCGATCATAATGGTTATCAGAGTAAGACCCTCGATATTTATTGGAAAGGGGCATCAAGATCACTGTGCACTTTCACCACCCTGTGAAGTTCACAATTTATTTCATCTGTAGCCTAATAAAATGCATGGTTTCCCGTAGTCTGGGCAGCCGCTACTTGGCTTTATGGATCTCCACTATCGTCTGGGCTTGATGTGGCCAGACGGTAATCAACTCGTGTGTCCCGGCTACCGGTTCATACTTTCTCCATTTAGGCTGCAAAGGCTTCGATTTCCTCAACTTTATTTAATGGCGAGAGGGCGAAAAAAGAGGGGGGGGGGGGGAATGCGTACTTTCTTTATGAAACACAATTTTCTACCACCATGCTAGAGGCTAAATGCTAATCGCGGATGTTGAGTATCATGTTCAGCCAATCAGGTTGCAGCAGTCTGGCAGGCGTAAAATAATTGTTTAAATAAAAAGTTGTGCTTACTGGATTTGTTGGCATGAACTCGTTTACAGAACATTATTCATAGTTTTAATAAGAAAGATAAAACAACCCAATTGAGATGGTTTGGGATGAGTTGGACCGCAGAGTGAAGGAAAAGCAGCCAACAAGTGCTCAGCATGTGGGAACTCCTTCAAGACTGTTGGAAAAGCATTCCAGGTCAAGCTGGTTGAGAGAATGCCAAGTGTGCAAAGCTGTCATCAAGGCAAAGAGTGGCTACTTTGAAGAATGTAAAATATATTTTAAGGATCGGACCCCTTTTTTCAATTTTCGCCTAAAATGACAACCCAAATCTAACTGCCTGTAGCTCAGGACCTGAAGAAAGGATTTGCATATTCTTGATAACATTTGAAAGGAAACACTTTGATGTTTGTGGAAATGTGAAATTAATGTAGGAGAATATAACACATTAGATCACGTAAAAGATAATACAAACAAAACAACATGCATTTTCTATTATTATTTTTGTTCCATCATCTTTATTATTATTATTTGAAATGCAAGAGAAAGGCCACAATATAATATTGCAGTTTAGGCGCAATTTAGATGTATGCCACTAGATGGCAGCAGTACGTTTGCAAAGTTTCAGATTTAGCTCGTGAAGCGTTGCAATACTGGACTATTTTGTATCAAGTCTGTCCAAATGTGCAGAATTGGTCAATTGATACATTTTCAAGTACATAACTATAGAGAACATACAAAAAGTAAGTTTACACACTCCCAGGAATGTCATACATGATGGATCATTAGCTTATACACTAACTTTCACATATCTAGATGGCCGGCGGGGTGGGTGTGGAGCCAGAGACAGCAGGGGTTCAAACTGTAGAACCCAGTTCCTACAATTGAATATAAAAATTGATTTTATCAAACAAAACTATACTACATTTTATCTCTGGGACCCTTAGGATGACAAATCAGAGCAAAATTACTGAATGAAAGTACATTATTTTCCTTCAGAGGTGAATGTATCAAACCAGTTGCCGTGATAAGTCTTTTGTTGCTGTGCACTCTCCTCAAACAATAGCATGGTCTTTTTTCACTGTAATAGCTACTGTAAATTGGACAGTGCAGTTAGATTAACAAGAATTTAAGCTTTCTGTCCATATAAGACATGTCTTGGAAAGTTTGCTGTTACTTACAACAGTAATGCTAATCACATTAGCTCAACCGTCCCGTATACGGGATACCAAGGTTAACATATTTTTAGTTACTACATGATTCCATTTGCGTTATTTCATAGTTTTGATGTCTTCACTATTATTCTACAATGTAGAAAATAGTAAAAATAAAGAAAAACCCTGGAATGAGTAGGTGTGTCCAAACTTTTAACTGGTACTGTATGTCTTGACCAAACAGGGAGGCGGCCCCTAAAAGCAGGAAACAGGACGTCACCCACTTCCTTCCTTATCTGACACACTGATGCTAGAGACTACGTAGCATCAAAATCCTAAGTGAATTTTGGGATAAACAGAATCTGTACTGAAGTGTTATTTTGACAGTTCCTATGTCTTTACAGTAACTGTTATTATGAGTAGATTACTCATAATAACAATTACTGTAAAGACAAAGGAACTGTCAAAATAACACTTCAGTACAGATTCTGTTTATCCCAAAATTCACTTACGATTGTTACTGCTTCCTTTAACAGTTCCCTATTAAACACTCTTCTGTTGAACTAGATTACATTGAACACTTCCATAAACATATTTACATATTTCAGCTAATGCATTATACAACGTTAATCTAAAACTGCATTTTCCTTATTCAAAAAAAAACTCAGAACATTACCTTCTGTTGTCTGAAGTGTGAATCAAATTGACAAAGGGGAAGTTTCAAGTCTCTCCCTGCGTGCTAGTTAAAGGTGAAGGCTAGTCAGCTCCCTCTACTCTCACACAACAAAGTGCTGCGTACTGGCTGGACAAGCCCTTTAAGAGACTAGAGGGTGGGCGGGCAGATATCACGTTCAAGGGACTATACTTGCTGGGTGATGTCATCAGACTCACCACGTGCCAAAGTAGCCTGATGGTCCAAATGCACAAATCTACTGTAGAATCTACTGCAGTAATATGATAATCTCATCATTCATCAAATTGATAGTGGGGCCATCTTAACGATAAGTTTGGGGTGATGAACTCGACTCCACAAATATTCAAATGTGTACAGTAAAGATAGCACTGTGTAATCAACTAAGCTAAGTGTCGTAATAGGGCGCTGGGCCACCACGAGCCAGAACAGCATCAATGCACCTTGGAATAGATTCTACCAGTGTCTGGAACTCTATCGGAGGGGTGCGACACCATTCTTCCACGATAAATTCCTAATTTTGCGTTTTGTTGATGGTGGTGGAAAACACTGTCTCAGGTGCCGCTCCAGAATCTCCCATAAGTGTTAAATTGGGTTGAGATCTGGTGACAGACGGCCATGGCATATGGTTTACATTGTTTTAATGCTCATTAACCCATTCAGTGACCACTCGCTCATGCCCCGTGGATAGGGACATTGTCATCCTATGAGGGCATAGCCATGGTAGCAAAAATAATGGCTTGCCTAGCATTTCTATACATGACCCTAAGCATGATGGGATGTTAATTGCTTAATTAACTCAGGAACCACACCTGTGTGGAAGCACCTGCTTTCAATATACTTTACAGCCCTCATTTACTCAAGTGTTCTCATTATTTTGCCAGTTACCTGTAGAGAACAACCGATATGGATCTTTTAGGGCCTATGCCGATTTCTGGGGGTCAAGGAGGCTGATATTTAATATCATTAAATGTTTCAATTTGAATTACAATTTCCCAGAGACAGCCATGTATGCATTAATGAATACATTTGAATGGTAATACTTTTATTTGAATGGTAAATCTCTTTATAAACTGGGTGTATTATATTTCCATTCAAATAAAAGTATCTATTCATGTTAATGTTTTTAAATATATGTAAATTGTAAAGTATTCTGTCTGTAATGTATTTTTTGTTGTGTGTCGGACCCCAGTAAGACTAGCTGTCGCCATTGGTGTCGGCTAATGGGGATCCTTATTACCTTTTACATTTACATTTACGTCATTTAGCAGACGCTCTTATCCAGAGCGACTTACAAATTGGATAAATCAAATAAAAATGAAGATGGCATAGGCCTACTCACAATACAGGTGAACGCATATTCAATAGGAGTGTATGCATGCATTGAGTTATTGAGCTTGTTTTGGCTGATC